TTTCCGGGCCGTTTCTATCTCATTTTCTCCCCTCCTTCTAAAGCCTGTTTCCATTTGGATGACTTGACTTGCTTTAAACAACAGGCTGTATCTTAACACCCAAGGGGGTGCTAGGGGTGTCTTACCCCCACAGTATTTTTCTCCAGAGAGTAAGTCATCTGTGTACCAAGTTTGGTTGAAATTGCTCAAGGCATTCCAGAGTTACAGCAGTACAGTAGAAGCCATTTTAAGGCACAACAGGCTGCATCTTAACAGAACACACACCCCAAGGGGCATTAGGGGTGTCTTACCCCCACAGTATTTGTTTCCAGAGAATAAGTCATCTGTGTACCAAGTTTGGTTGAAATTGCTCAAGGCATTCCAGAGTTACAGCAGTACAGTAGAAGCCATTTTAAGGCACAACAGGCTGCATCTTAACAGAACACACACCCCAAGGGGCATTAGGGGTGTCTTACCCCCACAGTATTTGTTTCCAGAGAATAAGTCATCTGTGTACCTAGTTGAAATTGCTGGAGGTGTTCCAGAGTTAGGTTGCACACAACACACACACACACACACACACACACACACACACACAGCCATTTATATATTTATAGATAGATTTGTTAAGTGAGGTTTGCCTCATTTTACAATCTGGGGCAGAACTCACTTAACAAATGTCTCATTTAACCAGCTAAAATCTAGGATTAACTGTATACAGATAGTAGGTCTCCAATTTCCAATGACTTTTAATGCCTGCAACATTTTCTTTGAAGTTTGGGACTTCATATTTCAAATATGAAATTAACAAAGCGACCCTCTATAACCTCCAGCTACCTGACGCAGAGAAAATAAACGAATGCAAAAAGAAAAAGAAATGTGTTATTTCTCGGAATTTTAGTTTTGAGCTTTGGTGTTGCAGCTCAAAGACAATCCGAGACTTTATTAGGTTCCATTATCCAAGCATTCAAACAGAAAACGAGGGTGTAAAATTAACCTCCATAAACTGTCTCTCAGCTCCTGATTGCCGATTGTTTCCCTCGTTATCTTTTTTTTTTAAAAACCGAGCGATTAAACGAACAACGTTTCAACAAGATGGCATGTTTGCAAGAGGACAACCATCACACATTTACAAAATCCTTCCAAGTTCTTTTTTCTCTCCCCCCAGCTCGGCAGGATAGAAGTCAGGAAACGGAGCAATAGCCCAGAGTGTTGGAGTACATAAAAATATCGAGATGGAAGCCACAACGGCAGGATTAAAACCCTGGCCTCTTTTAATGTGTGTGGCACGTTGGACGCAGATAAAACAGGAGTAGTTTGTGATCCCAGGATCCCAGCTGCCATTTTGAGCGCGTGCTGCTCTAGAAAACCTGGCTGGATCCCATAACACATGTTAAATTTAGTCATGAAGACTTAGTTTTATCAAAGTCTGGCATTCAATGAACGTGTCAATCAAGAAAGAACCAGCCTACAAGTTTGTAAGAGCACCTATTCTAACTGTTGTGGCCCGTCAGTGAAGCTGGCAGCAGATTCGGACACTGAGGAGGTTGGGGAGGAACCTGGGCCAGTCCTGGAGTCTGGGGAAGGCTCTGAGGAGGGCTCTGTGTTGGAGGCAGAGAGGGGGCCAGGGCCATCTGACAATAATCAGCTGCCTTCAGAGGCAGACATCAGTGAGGCAGACGAACGGCTGGAGCCTATTCCAGGTAAAGGGGACAGCTGAAGAACAGAGGTCAAATTGGGATCAAGGCCACAGGTGGACAGTGAATGGCCCCTCCCAGAGGAGATAAAAGAGGAGCGAAAGGGGAGTGGAGTTTGCAGGAGACAATCAGTTCGCTTAATTGGTTCGTGACTCTCCGAGGTTCCTTGCCAAGTTCTGCAGGTCTCGGCCTGGCAGCTCTCCAAGCCAGATAAAGTCTGTGACTGTAAATCCTCCCTTGAAAGACTTTGCTGGATGGGAATGAGCAGAATCCACAGTCAATGAATAAAAGGGTTTTTTCTCGGGATCAGGAGTTTGCTTCATGCTCTCGGGAAGCCTCAGTCAAAACACTTAACCAATGACAGCGTCAATCACCAGCCGACTCACATGACCCCCCAATCAGGGTGACCTCACCACCAGATGATCCTCACATGGTGTGACCAGTCAGTCACATGACCCAACCAGGCTTGACCTCACCATTGGATGTCCCTCACGTGGTATGACCAGCTGGTCATGTGACCCACCGACCATCTACGACTTATAAAAGCAGAAGAGAATTGGAATATGATGCTTCAACTGAAGTTCTTCTGATCATGTTACCCAGCCTGGTGATGAAACATTCAGAGTCTAAACAATAGCAATAGCAATAGCAGTTAGACTTATATACCGCTTCATAGGGCTTTCAGCCCTCTCTAAGCGGTTTACAGAGTCAGCATATTGCCC